GATCTGTAGATTTTCGCAGATTTGCTTTCCTCCGCGTACCTTCAATCATTTTTCAATCAACTATTTGAATCTCTTCTCCATTTTACAAAAATCACAAAATATTTAGGTGATTTTATACATAACAGTAGATCTATAAAGCATGCGTGAATAAGAAACTAAACCAAAAAATTGTACGTTGCTATAAATGTGAAGTATGGGAATATAGGCGGGGGGCATATTTTATTTTTTTTTCTTTATAAACGAGCAATATTTTCTCAGGAAACAGTGTTTATTGTTATTCATAATGTGTTTAAAATTAATCACATTCTGAAATTTTATGCTTTTTTTCTGTTAAGCATAGCATTCTTTCTGAAAGTAGCGAGCTGCACTTTAGTATGTAATGAAATTCACCTCTGAGTTCTTTTAAATTACAATGGGGACAAATTCTATCTTGTCTTGGTAACCCTGTCTAAGGGCTTCGACCACCCACAAGTAACATGCAAGGAAGATTCCAGCGAACTTTTTTTTTACCATTTTTGAACCATTTTCAGAAGTAACTAACTTTAAGAAGTATGCATGAAATATTTCGATTCGGTAAAGATAAAGGCTTAAAATGTTCCCGTAGTATGCAGATGGGCAGATGGGAGGGGGGGGGGGGCTCACTTTTTCTGAGAATAATCTTTGCTGCAGTTTTAAAATAAATCAAAATTTTGATTTGGAAGCTCCCTCCACATTTTTTGTTTGCAGGAAAATACGCAGATTCAAGCATTCAAAAGTAATGTACTGAACAGAAAAGTTACAGGAAGCCTCCTTTATCCCCTACCAAAAAGGATTGTATAGAGTGTGGTGCTTAGGTTTTTTTTTGTTTTGTTTTTTGTGTTTGTTTTGTTTTTTTTTTTTTTTTTTGCTTGTCAACTGATGTTGGAGGTCCCCCATCAATATAAATTGAAGTGGCTGTGTTGTGATTCTATGCACGAGTGCCATGCGCGGATCTAGAGGGGATTAGGACCCCCCCTACCCTGGGATTTGCAAGGTTATTAAATTTATTTACTAAAGCAAGAAAAAAAGTTACGTAGGAACCCCCTCGGAAAACGCAGACTCCCTGGTAAACGCGAATTTGTGTTAAATTGGTATGAAAAGGCTAAGGTTTGAAGCATTCGAAGTCGTCGGCTACCCCCCCCCCCCCCCACCCACTCACCGAAATAGGTTTTGAAGTTTGGGCGAGTTTACGGGGGTCTTTTTTTGCATGTCAAGAAATATCTGGGTTGGATATAAATTATTAATAGTCGAAGCATATAGGAAGGGAAAGCAAACTGCCGATGAGAGTTCCACATTCTACCAAAAATTAGCTTTTTTATACCTCTTGTCTAAATAATTTTTGTCCAGATTCCTTACCTGAGAAGGTACTTGCATTTGAGAAAGTTCCCAATGTTCCCATTCCTATGATGTAGACTTCACGTTTACATGTATTTTCCTTTCAATTTCGGCGTTTAGGTTTATTTTCTTGTCAAAAGTAAAATTATTATTTCAATTTTTGAACAAGTTTCGACATCCCCGCCTGACAAAAAAAAATCTTTGATCTGTCCCAAGATCTAATAAATGGTACAGCACAAAATAGATATGATTTTATATCTATTATTGCGCTTACAGATGGTTACAGGAGGAGAGAAAGCGAGAGAGTTCAATGAATAAAAGAGTAATTAAAAATTATCTGTATTCCACCAGGTTTCAAGTTTCCCTACCAAGGTTTTTAAAAGTATCTCCCAAATATTGCAACAGAAATTATTTTTATTTTTTAAAAAACTAGACTGTCAGACAGGGATACTGAATTCTCGAAAGACTTCCTTTAATAATTATAAAACAGCCATGCACATTCCGCAAAAATGTTCATACTTTGTGGTCGGAGTGAGACAATAAAAAATCTTCAAAAATGGAATTGGCAGAAATGTCTGTCTTCCAAGAATATTTAGGTAACGGCCATGTCAATTATTTCTGCCCCCCCCCCCCTTAAAATACAAATGCCTCAATATCAGTCTAAAAGGGGGATGTTTTTTCCGCGTGTGTGTTAAAGAACGTACAGATACACACATAAACTTTTGTATTCTGGTTAAATGTTTTCAAGTCTTGAACTAAATATTTACCGTATATCAAATCACTTGGTTTAGATTTGAGATTAGTACTAAAATAAGCAGTTGTAATTGACAAATGAATTTTGCGATGCAAAACAACTGCAGACTATATAAAGAATGTTTATTAGAACTAGATAGACAATTTTCAGTTATACCTTATGAAGCCGTTATAATTATACTTTAGATCCCCCCCCCCCATTTCAGCCGCGCAAATACCACTCTTTTCCACTTGTGATATTTTCCCTGACCAAAATCTGATCAGCACGGACTAAGTGTATCGACGCGCTAGACTGTACGGAGTAGATACAGTGTGTTTATTGAGTTTTTATGGAGTTTATTTCTTTTTTATGATGCATATTTCAATAAATGGAATTCAGGGTGTATATCACTTGACTTGTGCACATCTTCGAACCGATGCAGTGATCTTATTACCAGGTATGGGTGCGTTTACAGCGTTCGACGCGTTTTCTCGACATGCATCAAAGTCTGTATAAGACCTGCAAATCAAAGACGCTGATGGTTTTGTTCCATTCAAATGATAATAATTTCAAAGTGTGTTTACGGGTTTTAGTGATTTTTATTTCATGTTTATTCTGCATAAATTGGCGCAGTGTAAAAATGCGTACTCGTGCAACTAAATCTTTCTTTCAAACTTGCATTTTCTTTCTTTTTTTATTACATTTGATTCAAATCTATAATTATTCAGAAATATGATTATTATGTTGTGTGGTTTTGAAATGTCTTGATCAATCCATGTGTTTTCAAATGTTTTACTATCGGAGATGTGCACAAGTCGATAGCCAAGCCAAAAAATCATTCAAGTGTAACGAGGGCATTCGGGTATATATCGTTACAATAAGACAAGGTATCTGAGAGAAATATGGCGGAATACGGCCATAGTTGGTATGAAACAAGTCGTACATAAATGAAAAAGTTGCGTTTTTAAGAATTCATGTCAGCTTTAAACTGACAAATCAGATGAATGAGAATTGCATTATGGGTTACTATAGGAATACTACAGGAATTTTACGCCTGATAAATTCCTTTATTGTACTATCGGTGAATGCAATTGTCAGGTGGATTATCTCGACAACATACGTGATCACGAGTATAGTTTTGTCCATTTAAATGCACACGAGAAGCTGCTCGTTTGAAGTGCTGGTGTTCTGAACTTGACACTACGTAAAGATTGTATTAAACATACAAATTGAAAACTCCCGTGATATTTTTCATAGTTTCTAATGTTTGCATTTTGTTCATAAGAACATTTCTTTGATTTTGCACTCCATTGACATGATCATAGATTGACCTGAACCACGTGTTCGAAGTAACATGTAAAGATGTATTTGGCCTAAACGTATTCAATCAACAATTGGTCAGTTGCTCGTGGTAAGATCCTCTGTGCGCATTAATAGCAATAGCCGTATAAGGCAAACAAAGGTTTGTCAGTGTAGATGATGTATACATTTTTTTTACCAGCGTATCGGTCGTTAGTGAGCTGTAATTTTTGCAGTAAACTAAGATAAGATGTATTAATTGTTATTTACCCCCCCCTCCCCTTTTTAAGCCACCCATTAATTTCTGTTGAAAATCATGAAAGTCTTTCAGAAAGGTACGGAAACACATTTTTCACAGGACATGTTTTCAGAAGAAACAGACTATAGCAATTTCCTGTTTATTATTGTTTTACAAACAGCGTGACAGTTTGCTTTATAGGGCGTGCTAAAATTTCGTTTGCTGATTATCATATTACTCATCGATTGGATTTTTGATTTCAATGGAATCAATAAGACTGCATATGAAACATAGAACCCAACAATACCACTGGTCACAATACTGACCAATCGTATTGAATGACATGTTTACTAGCATGCAGTAAACAACAGTTACACCTGGACGGAAAAAGCAAGTTTTACAACCTATAATGATGATATTGATAGCTACATAGTACAACAGTTGCAGAGTAGCCTTACTAATTCTGTTCTTTGAATTTCATATACGTATATAAAACCATCCGGTCAAATCATAACAAATACATGTATAATACATGCTTTTTTTGAGGACAGAAAACGACTGACCACGTGTTGCTGGTGAGTACAAATGCGCACTGGTGAACAATCATTCAATGTGATTGGCCAGTATACTCAGGACATTGTTGTATTCTGAGTTTCATATGCAAATTAGTATTGATTCCATTGAAAAAAAAAAGCATCCAATCGATGAATAAAATGAAAATCAGCACACAAAATTTTAGCACGCCCCATAAAGCAAACTGTCACGCTGTTTGTAAAACAATAATACTGCCAATTTTATTTATAAACCGGTTCTACCGTATAACCTTTGAATAGGTAAACCTAAACCACGTGTCTTGAATTCAAATCACAATAACATTAGTAGGGGTGTGTTATTCGCAACTCCTCGTATACCACTAAATAAATACTTAATGATACTTTCAGAGATTCATAGACACACTTATTTCAAGTGTCCCAGATCAAAACATCGGCTTTGCCATCATAATCATTTAGAAGGCGGGGGTATCATTTAGTGAGCTTAGTGCCTACAGTACCTTTACTTATACCCCCTCCCCCGCTTGACAAGTGTAAGAGTATATAATAATCGGGGTGTCCGTCCGTCTGTCTGTATGTCCATCTGTTACGCTTTGGGGAACCCATCTCTTATTCGCAATTTCTTTTATACCACTGAACGGGAAGAGGGATTGTGAGGGAAGCAGAGAAGGGCGGCCGACAAAAGGGGAGGGAGGAAGGGGAGATGGATATGTTGAAACAGAAATGGGGTAGTGAATGAAGGGGAGAGAGAGATGGACGGGAGAGATTGGGAAGGAAAGGAGGGAGGGATCGTGGAGATATTAGGGAGGAAGGGAAGGGAAGAGGGATGAGCAAGGGAAGAGGGGTGGGGAGAGGGATAGGTAAAGAAAGGGATAGCGAAGGGAAAAGAGATTACTGGGAATACGGAACAGGGATAGGGATGGGCGAAGGGGGATGGGCAGAAATGGGTGTGGGGAGAAAGGGCAGGGAGGGGAGACATAAGGAAAGGGGGATGGGTGAGGGCATGGAGGGAGAGATGTAAGGGGAGGGATGGGCAAGGGGAATGAGGAAAGGGTCAGAAATTGGCGGGGGAGGGGAGAGGAATTTGCTAGGCTAGGCATAGGCATCGGAAGCAAATCGAAAGTGTGGTAGGAGGGCTAATTGAAGGTTGGGGAGGGGGGCTAAACCAACAAAAAAAGGTAAACTTTAATTTTCAATGCCTATATAATGGCGGTTCCTACGCCTATGGTAGGGACGAGGAATAGAGAGGGATTGGCGAGATGAAGGATGGAGAAGGGAGAGGGATGGATAAGGAGAGGGATGGGTTAGGGGAGGGATGGAAAAAATAGAAGGTTGGATGAAAGGAGGGATGGAAAGAGGGCAATATGATTAAAATCAGATCCTCGATCCACTACTTTTTTTCATGGTGTAGCGACCATAAAAATAAAGAAGCGGATCGAGGATCTGATTTTAATCAGATTGGGGAAATGGGATGTCTGGGAAGACGTATAGGCGAGGGGAGGGGAGGGTGAGAAATGGGCGAGGGGAGAGAAGGTGAGAGGGATGGGTGAGGAAAGGGATGGGAAGAGGGATGTTGGAAGAGGGAACGGTGATAGGGATGGGCGAGGGGAGAGAAGGGGGAGAAATGGTCGAAGGAAGGGACATGCAGAGAAAGGAAGAAGCATCAGTATGGGGAAACAGGAGGAAAGGGGATGGGTAAAGGGATGGATGTGGAAGGGAAGAGGGATGGTCGATGGGAGGGAGGAAAGGGGATAGAGATTGGCACGGAGGGAATATGAATTGACTAGGGGAGGGACACGGAAGAGAGAGGGATTGGCAAGATGAAGGGAGAGGAATGGATGAGGAGAGGCATGGGTGAGGGGATGGATGTGATGAGGAGTATGTGAGAGGAGCGACTGGATATGGGAGAAGAGATGGGGTGGTCGAGGGAAGGGACAGGAGATGAGAGGGTTGGGAGAGAGATGGGTGATTAAAGAGAAGTGTATTGAAGGGGATAAGGAGAGGATAGGGAAAGGAGAGAGGGTTGAGGAACATGATTAATACTCCTATACTCTGTTACTTTACCATCCCCTACCTCCTTTTATGAAATAGAATTAAATATAGGAATACAAAATTTAATACCAATACATCTATAACTACAGAAAAAACATATCAAACATTAATATGTTTTGTTTTAGTTTAATAATAAGAGAAAATGCTTTACAATAAATTTATTTAACAGTGATAAGCAAAAGTCTGCTTCAGTTATATATTTTGAATCTCTCTCATTGAGTTGGACCCTCCCTTATTATTAATTAAAACAGGAAAACGCAAACAACGATATATATGAATAATTATGTAAGTCTTAGATATTTTTTTTTAACAAGAAGTGTCTGTCTTATTGATAAAAAGAAAATTTATATAATATAAACACTGTTATTCCAATTGTGAAAAGGAAATATTGCAAACTGTACAATTAAGGGACTCCGACCCTCAGCCAGGAGAACAACTCTTTGATTTATAATTTAATTTAAAAAGTCTCAAAATATTTATGAAGCTTGAAAATTAAATCTTTTCATGCAACAATGTTCATTATATGCCTCTCAATGTGCTTCAATGTTCTTTGCAAAGCTCAGTAAATCACATTTAATTTCATATCATGTTAATAAACATTGGTATCTAAAAATACTTTTACGGGATAAAAATTTCTACTTTTAATTAGACCTTTCTGAGAAGTTCAAAGAACCTTAAAGCTCAGTGAGGGGCATATAATGAAAATTGTTGCATGAAAAGATTTAATTTTCAAGCTTTGTTTAAAGACTTTTGAATTAAATTATAAATGAAAGAGTTGTCCTTCCTGGCTGAGGGTCGGAGTCCCTTAAGGTGGGTATCAGTCTGCAAAGGAATAAATAAAAACTTATTTGATGATTGATTTTATTTTTTTTTAATTGGAACAGGGATTTTAAGCATTATTTTTTTTTAAACCTAATTTACACATAGTTAATAGTAAATGCTATTTGTTATGAATTATTTTACAGATATCAGTTATAAATTTTAAGTTAAAAAGAATGAACTGTCTAGGAACTGTAATTTCTTCAAAATATAAGACTATTCCTTACTTTTAAAGAATAATAACACATTTTCACAGCACTACAAGCTCCCCGAGAGCAAGAACAGCAGGGACAGTTCTATCAGTAAATGTCAATTGTATAAGTTTTTCAACAGAAGAGGTAAACGAGTCAGTAATTTTCTACGATAAGTTTATCAGCGTTGACTAAGATTGTCAACACTTTTCTACGTTTATCAGTACCGACAATAAAAGGGTCAGTAATTGACTAAGATTTGCAGAAAAGGCAGTGCATTCTCCGTAATTGCATAAGTTTGTCATTAAAAAATGGGATTGTCATTATGTGTCTGACTTAGCGACAGGGTTATTTCATCGAGTATGCCTACGAATGGTTATAAAATAGAGAAGGTAATTCACTTCCATTTGTTTACATCGGATACCCCTCTCGAAAATCGGGCCTAAGATATCATATACCTACTACATGTCACCAAAATGTGTCATGATATCTTGTTTCGTTAGATATTTCTGTCTTTAATCGTGCTATTTAATTGCCCAGGCATTCCACAATAATTCGAGTATGCAGCGTAAACATGAAAAATGCTCCAAGATTTGGAAATATCAAAGCAGAAATTACGGAAGTGATGCAAAAACGACACTTAACGGGTAACTCTCGACTTCCGAGTGTTATAGAATAAAGGGAAAAGCCAGATGACTACGTTAAAGTGCGGTAGGTGAAAGACGAAATCACCCTTGGGTAAATGTATCAGACGATGGATGTGTGTTAACTGCAAAGGTCGCTGTGTCCTACTTATAAATTTTTCTGGCTTCCATTAAATATTTCAAATGCTCACAAAAATGTCTGACTTGTCAGAGTAACACACGGTAATTTTTCCAATTCCATCTTTAAAGTTAATCATTTTATAAGGGAAAATTAGTAAATTTCAAAATAAATATTCAGGAAATGCGAATTAAAACATCTACTATGCATTTTCCATATCAAGTTTGATCAACAACCACATTTTAGAAATAAAAATCATAGGTACCCAGGCTTTTGAAGAAACTGCACAATTTTTATACACTTAAGGTACATTAATTTCTTCTATTTACTTCGATCATTTTACAATGCTAAGTGTATACAGATTTTTCTATAATTGCAGAACACCATAAATTACTTCTAATTTCATATCATATTGATAAACATTGATATCTTTGGTCAGAATAAAATGAACCTCAATTACTTTAAATGTGTCATTTTAAAATACTTTTATGGGGTAAAAATTTCGACCTTTAATAAAACCTTTCTGAGAACTTCAAAGAACAGTGAAGCACATCGAAAGGTATAAAATGAAAATTGTTGCATGAAAAGAAATACTTTTCAAGCTTCGTTTTGAGACCTTTTGAATTAATTTACAGATTAAAGAGTTATCGTTCCTGGTAGTTTTCAAAATAGAACATTTTACTGGAATAAAAGTGACTGACGTAAAGTTTATAAAAACGACTGAAAATGATAAAAAGAAAAATGAAATATGTACTATGTTTTTAAATATTAACAAGATATCATAGAAGAATCTATGTACAAAATAAGAACGAATTTAGATACGTCTTTATAATATCCGCTCTTGCAAATCGAAAATATAATTAAAGAAATAAAAGGATAGAAAACAGGGATATAAGGGGTAAAATTTCGGCCACTGTTCGACCAGCTGAACTGTGCCCATCAACAACAATGGGACGCCCTGTGTTGTTTGTGGTGGGTATTGGAGCTGGAGTAGTTGTTTGGCGAGTTGTGGTTCTGCTGGTGGATATTGGAGCTGGAGTAGTTGTTACGCAGTCTTGGGGTCTGTTAGGATAATCTGGGGCACATTCCCGGCGAGTAGTTGTTAATGGAGTAGTGGTACTGCTGGTGGATATTGGAGCTGGAGTAGTTGTTACGCAGTCTTGGGGTCTATTAGGATTATCTGGGGCACATTCCGGGCGAGTAGTTGTCAGTGGAGTTGTAGTTCTGCTGGTTGATATTGGAGCTGGAGTAGTTGTTACGCAGTCTTCGGGTCTGTTAGGATTATCTGGGGCACATTCCGGGCGAGTAGTTGTTAGTGGAGTTGTAGTTCTGCTGGTTGATATTGGAGCTGGAGTAGTTGTTACGCAGTCTTGGGGTCTGTTAAGATTATCTGGGGCACATTCCCAGCGAGTTCCTCCATCTCCTCCTCCATTATCTGGGTCATCAGTTTGAACTGTGAATTTTTAAAAAAAATCTTGATATAATACCACAACAACGTAATTTAATAATGTATGTATAGGTTACATCATAGATTCCGAGTAGTATTGATTATATCGTTTTCATGGGGCGTGGAAATGAGGGCAGAGTTCTGAGATTTCCTATGCACCCATGAAAACGATATAATCAATAGTACGAGGCAATCTATGATGTAAGCAACTTGTCGCATGTCTGATGACGTAAATTTCATTGAGAGTGTCAAAACTCAATATTAAAAAAATTTGACCTGATTTATGCCTTCCGCAGTGATATATGACGGGGCGTGGAAAGTATTATTGCATATGTGATATGGGATATATCACCACAAAAAGATCAAAGAAAATCACCGCAGATATGCGACAAAGTCTAGATCTGGAATTGTTAAGAAATATATAAACAAGGATAATGTATATGTCACAATTAAAATGTACGATTTATCATGTTTATTGTCATTCGTTACATCGTACATGTATCTCCCTTCTCGTTTACGTATTCATGTCTTTCTATTCAAATATACCATAAACAGTTTTTTCAATGTTATAAATAAAATGTAAATAATAATAATAATAATAATAATATATTCACACCCAACACGCTATTAGATGATAATGAACCTACATTGTGTTTTTTCTGTTGAGGTAGATGTAACATTCTCAATAGGAGTACGTGTAGCTATATCCATCGTAGAGGACCTGCATCCCTCTGGTGGACACACTGGGCAGTCAGGGGGTCGATTAGGATAATCAGGAGCACATTCAGGACGTGGTTGACATTGGACTGGTTGGTACCAGTACATTATCAGTGTAACAAAAGATAGGAAGCTTTTCATGGTTCCTTTACTCTCTTTGTGATCTTGGTAACCTAAATGATGGTAATCCAAAGTGGCAAATAATATATTCACTTAAATGGCGCTAACATGTTAAGAGATTTTTTTTTTTTTGCTGTTTGCAAATTTTCTTTATCTTAAGGTAGGATTCTTCTCTGGTTTCTGACTAGATGAAACACTCAAAGTATATTTGCTTATATGTCTTATATATTGAGGGTTAAGGAATTCAAAAGATCATATTTTTCTTTCCTCATCACAATTGTACAACTTTAAATAGAAATGGTAAACTGCGTTTGAAAACTAAGAGGGACTATATTTTTGGTGGAATGGTGGCGTATGAAAATATCTTCTTTTCTGCCTCTCAAAATTATAATAGAACAATGAATTTAGTTATAATTTTTACACAATCGAAGTCTTGGAGAAATTTTCAAATGTAAGTTAGATTAATAATGAGGGACTAAACTTTCAAAATATATCAAATAAATATGATTTTTCAAACAAACTAGAACTTTATTAGCTTTTAAACGCTTCCTATCAAAGTGCAGATTTTAACCAAAAATCCATAAAAAGTATTTTTTCTCTCTTAGTAAACGATCAAAACTTTCTGTTTTTGTATCATTTTGTACATTTATAAGACTACTTTATTATATGTGAAAATAAGAAAAAGTTAAATATAGGAAGCATATGAAAATAACTAATATATCCTAAAAAATTAAGAAAAACAGAGAAAATTCGGATCAGCCAATATCCAGTTAAGTTAAATTATTTATCTAAATTTGGTATTATAATGCTATAGACCCGATAAAGTAATATGTTTTTATGCAAAAAGAACAATCATTAAACTTTTGAAATAGAAGTAGGTATCACATGATTGGCAAAAGTTATTTTTTATTCTTAATGTCAAGGAAAAAGATAATGACCTTGACCTGACCTTGCCTCTAATATAAAACGGTCAAATTTAATTTCAGTGATGCTATCACTTACTGGTATTGTCTTTTTGATTTTGTAAAAATTTCATTAATTTTTAAATATTAGAAATATGAGAAGAATCCTACCTTAAATGTTGAATAAATGACAAGCAGTATATTCATGAATGAAAAATTCGATTTTAGTTACTTTTAAAGAATTTTTTTCTATAGACATTGGGGATTAAGCTTCAAAACACAAAAAACACTTTAATCAGTCAAATACGGGATTTGTCTGGCTCAAGACTTTGATGTTTATTTATTCAAGTGTAAAGCACATTTTAAAGATGATCCCAACTCAAAAACCTTTATGAAACACTGATGCCCCTGCAATTTTTAGTCTTAAGTTTCTCAAATGCAAATGGAACACCAAGGTCAAAAAATCAAAAATGTTATTACCCTAAGAAAGAATATAACTGTTAAAAATGAAAGTCCAAGCCGAAACCATTCATAATTTATGACCTAGGATGAAGATTCTTTTAAAGATGGAAAAAATCAAAATTTTTAAGCTATAGTCTTACCGCACGGAAGTAATGTCCAAAGGAATGTTAATTTTAGGAAACACTAAATCAAGGTCATTTGGTCAAACACCTTTATACTCATAGAAAAATTAAATGAATATAGTACATATAAAACATAAAGATTGTAGCACCAACTGTTAAGAAATTGGACCAAACTCCAAGTTCAAAGGCTCAAAATGTTGCTTTCTAACATGCCTAAAGAAAGGTCTTCTCACAAAAAATACGTTTGGTGTGAAATACGAAATATCTAGTTTAACTAAGCAAAAGTTAGGGGCAAAGTTGATATTTTTGTGCGGAAAGACAGGAAGACAGACGGAAGGGCGGAGCAAAAACTATAAGGAGTACCCCTAGATTCTTCGATTACGGTGAGTCGCCTTCGTGGCGCAGTTGTTAGAGCGTCTGCTCAAGAGTCGCGGAGTAAGGAGTTGATCCATAGGGGCTTGTGTACAGAAAATAACTCAGTTAGAAAATTAGTACCTCGGAGAAAAAGGGAGGACGCCATTTTGTGTACCACCTCGCTTCATCAGCTATTTTCTCGCTTAAATTGTTAAACTAGGCATACGAGCCAGTGACATTACAGGGTTTAGAATCTTTCCTATTATCTTAAATATTGAAAACCCAACCTGGACGAAAAGGATGAGGTGACTTGCGGCCCCTCGTATACTGACAAAAAATTGAATGTCTAAATTTTACTCAAATTTTTGTATGTAACTAATCACTGATATATGTACCTTTATAGAATACTATTTTTAACAAAAATAGACACGCGATTTGAAAGATATAGATCTTTTATTGTGGTAGGGGTATCATGTTTACATTCAATTCCCATTGCATTTTAACCCCACCCCACTCTTTGAAGCCCTTCAAATATACGAGCGCAGGTAGGTACAATTTTCCACTTTGGCTGGTCACTGTATTTTATTCAAATCTACCTATATGTGAAAGGAGAAAATTGTACCTAACTGCGCTCACATGCTATTTTTTAAAAAATTGTAAAATCTAGTTTGCCTTTCCCATTAGAAACAGATCGACGGAACTAGATTTTCTGACGTAAGAATGAATTCATATGCTAATCGAGGCACAGGCGATACTTTCTAACTGACCAATCAGCTTTAAAGAAATTCGTTACGAGTGAGTACCACAAACATATTATGGAAACATGCTTGGAATTTTACTGCTTTCTGATATTTTTTATGCATTTGAGTCACAGATCAGACAGGGATCTACATATCTACCATTTCCGAGACCACAGTAAAATTTATATGCAATTACAAACAATTGATAGAATATACATGAAATACATTAGTTTAAAGTTTTTTAACGTGTTTGGTGAGCAATTCGCTAGGTCTACGCGTATTCCCTAGTATAGGTAAATACAAGTTTCATGTGCATTTCTTGTCCTAAAAACCATAAATGCTGAAAATCCATGCGTATTATTAAGTATAAACAGCACTGCCTGACCATTATAAAAGTTTGAAATATAGAAAAGGACAATAGGTAAATTGACCAAAACCATGTGTCTGCGATAAAATGTAAACGTATAGTAAACTAGCATGTTTTGTTGTTCTGTCATCGGATTGGACAATGACTAAGTGCGAAATAATAACAATAGCCATATAAGGTCTTCTCGGGCACGCGTATCCCTCTATTGTACTAAGACCCGCCCATTCTCTTGCCATAAAAGAAAATATTGGCACAAACCTGGCCGAATGTAGCTGTGATAGGGTCTAAAAAATCAAAGATAATGCAGTATTCCTTAGAATTAAAAGTGTCTGAACTATTGAAAATATTCAAAAGGCGTCGTATTTATTCACTCATGTTTGAAAACTACCAACATCGTTGTAGGTTAAATATAATTTGTCGTGGAAAAAGGGGCCCCAGATAGCAGTTATGTCACAACATCCTTTAAACAGATGATATAAGATATTAACCAAAAACATTTCTTTTACATGACTGTAAGAAAAAAAAAAACTATCTCAAGTGACATTACACAACTTTGAAGGGGGTGTTTCTCTTCCTTGTATATTTCAGCAAGGTACATCAGTGTACATATATGTTTAAAAATATACTGAAAGAAAAAAGAAACTGAAACCTTCTATGCACATGTTTATTTATCGACACTTTGGGATTCTTATAAAAATTGTATACCGGTATAATATAATAGATTGAGTTTAAAATGCCGGGGAACGTTTCTTGTAACCTTTAACGTTGAGAAGCAATGCAAATAGGGTAACCTTTAAGTTACATGTTACTTTTTGTACATATGCTTCAAGCACTTTTTTGAATTTTTTTTAATTTAAGTTTCAAATGCTGTAAATAAATCTTGTCATTCTTAACTCACCTCGACGAAGTCGAGATGAGCTTATGCTATACTCCATACGTTGACGTTAGCGTTGGCGTCCCGGTTATATTTTTAGGAGTAAGTCCATTCCCAAGTAACTATTAGACATAACTGGACCAAACTTGCATGGATGATGCATCTAGGGATGGACACTACTAGACTTGCTTCGGATGCTGGATCTGACCTTCATTTTCCAGATGAGAGACCAGGTTAAAGTTTTTGGAGCACGTCCATTCCCAAGTAACTTTAAGTCCTACCTTGAAAACTTGCATGGATGATGCATCTTGGGATGGACAATACCAGACTTACTTTGAATGCTTGATCTGGCCTACATTTTCGAAATGAGTGACCTTGGCAATGCTTTAGGAGTAGCTGTATGATTATATGGCCTGTTATGATTTCAACTGCATGAATGATTCCTCTAAGGATGGATTATTCCAGACTTGCCTTGAATATAGGAAATGAAAGACATTGTTTTTGGAACAGGTCAATTCCGAATGAACTATAAGACCTTAACTTAAACAGAACTTGCATGAATGTTGTTGTTAGGATGCACACATACTGAAAAAAAAATATGATGTGAGATTTGCATTACTTATACTGACTAAATTCGTCGAGGTGATCTTCGTAATCTTTGATTACCTATGTTTATAGTAATGGGATAAAGGCCTTGGGCACTGTTAAAACGAGTTGAATGGGCAAAGTGTACATGTACACAGAGTGCTAATTCCCTAAAAGCATGGGTAGAATTTATCTACATATGTGAAGAATAAAGCTATGCAATAATAATTTTGGGAGATGTGATAAAACGATGTACGATACTACATGCTTCTTCCGCCAGAAAAAAAGCAATGGTCTTAAAGTGTTACAAGGCGTTTACTCACAATAAATTTTCCAGATAACTCATTCTTCAATACTGGTGAATTTTTGAAATATATTTCTTTTCTCCTTTATTTTCCGATAAATAATGTGTTAGCAGATAGATTGATATTGATATGATTTGATACTTGTGTAAGGATATAGTATAAATAGTTTTATGAATGTGAGTTGAGGAATAAAAAAAATATTGGTCATTGTTGTATTGCATTTAGGGGATTTCAATCACAGAAAATGTGACATAATTTTCGAATATGCTTAAAGAGATTGTTTCATTAAAAAATAAAATCATCTGGGATGATATATGTGTACATTGTCTTAGCTAATAAATGAAATAATATATTTCTTCTGTCAAACATGCTAAAATTATCCTAATTATTTTTTTCTGAACTTAAAAATATATGGTTTATGTTCATAACGCATTGTGTCCATACGTATTGAAGTTTTTGACACCTCTCTACAAACACTAAATAATTTGTCAAGTTCAATTTCTTTGTTTAATTAATGAGTATGTTTGATATATTATATTTAACAATATGCTTCATGAACATAACTCAGTTCGTTTTGTAATTTTAAAATGATCTCTGATTGTAAAATGTTTGGTGTCCTGACCGTTACGAACATAATAGCTTTCAGTATGATTGCTAAAATAACAGCCAATAAATCATAAATTTGGCTCAGGAAGTCCGTAGCAGTGGAATAATTATAAATTGAAAACAAAAGTAGAAAGGTGGCGCAGCTGTCTGCTAGAAAACATGACGATGCTCATTGTGTCCATGTGGAAAAAAGAAGTTACGTACATAATAGATTCGTTAAGTATACTCATATTGTATCAATTTGAGTGAATGTTTAACACATAAATACAGTCATTGTATCTTTATACCATGTAGCTATTAATCAGAAACTAAAATATGTCGATTGTATGGAATCCGGATAGGGCCACGCAGTTCACTATCGCATCATCGCACCATCAAGGTTTAGGTCGATAGTGCGATGAAGAGATAATGCGATGACGATGAGGCGATGGTGCGATAGCGATGAAGTGATGGTGCGATAGCGCGATGACGATGATGCTATGGCGCGATAATGCGATGACGCGATGGTACGATGACGCGATGGTGCGATAGTGATGACACGATGATGCGATGACGATGGTGCGATAGTACGATGACGATGAAGCAATATTCACTATCGCTCAATCGTGCTATCTCGCCATCGCATTATCGCGCCATAGCATCATCGTCATCGCGCTATCGCACCACCGTTTCATCGTTATCGCGCCATCGCATTATCGCGCCATCGACCTTTAAGTTGATGCTCGATGGTGCGATAGTGAAGTGCGTGGCCCTATCCGGATTCCATACGATTGTGACCATACAAAATTATGGAATCCGGATAGGGCCACGCAGTTCACTATCGCATCATCGCACCATCGAGGTTTAGGTCGATAGTGCGATGAAGAGATAATGCGATGACGATGAGGCGATGGTGCGATAGCGATGAAGTGATGGTGCGATAGCGCGATGACGATGATGCTATGGCGCGACAATGCGATGACGATGGTGCGATAATGCGATGACGCGATGGTGCGATAGTGATGACACGATGATGCGATGACGATGGTGCGATAGTACGATGACGATGAAGCGATATTCACTATCGCTCAATCGTGCTATCGCACCACCGCCATCGCATTATCGCACCATAGCATCATCGTCATCGCGCTATCGCATCATCGCTTCATCGTTATCGCACCACCGTTTCATCGTTATCGCGCTATCGCATTATCGCACCATCGACCTTTAAGTTGATGCTCGGTGGTGCGATAATGAAGTGCGTGGCCCTATCCGGATTCCATACAAAATGCATAAATCTGTCCGAGTCGAGTACTTTCGGTTTAACATTTGACTTGATTCGCGTCTCTTGTTACAAACATAAGTGTTTTTACATTATTTGTGTAATCTGTTGATGATAAAGTTACATTTTGCTATATTTTATTCTATATTTGTAAGCTTTGTTCTGTTATTATCAAAGGATGAATACTTATTGAATATTTTGTTTGATATTGCCATATCGTTTACGCAATTACGTTCGTAAAGGACACACGAAAACTTGAAGTAGTGACATAATTTGAGCTTTAATTGCCTTGTTTCTCTTTTTTTCAAGGAGATATAATAAATATAATTAAACAGCATATGTATTGATTACATCATGCTGTATTTTGTTTTATATCTTTTTTTTCTTTCAGATTTACAAGAAATGACTGAATTATGTTCGTAACAATGAAACAAATATCCACAAGACTCAAAATAGAAGACCTAGGATATTTAGCAATCCATTTGACAATTTACTTGTCTGCATTAATTCTCTTTGAAAGCTAGTCTATTATTAAGCTTTGAAATGAAATATTAAAAGTATTAAAGACAAGTGTTCGATTGTCTTGATATTTTTTTGTTCCTTTTTAAAGCCTGATTCGGATTAGGTGTCCATGTTACGTACATAATTTCTCCTTTTTTGAAACTAGAAATAAAATTTGTGACTTTTTGAATAAATTCCATTTAATATAACATTAAACATGATTTCATCATATCTTATTGATTACATTATTTTCATATTTTAACAACTTGTTAATCTCTAGTAATATGTTACTTGTTTAGTGCTTATGTACGTAACGGTGTCCATTGGTAACCTTGGATATATTTTCTGATTATAATGGAATAAGGCAGAAATAAGTCATGCAATAAAACATGCAAACTAGTGTTTATATACTTCAAAAAGGATTCACCAGAAAAGAATAGCTTTTTGATTTAAAAAACAGTCACTGTGGACACCAAGTTACGTACATAAAATTTCAGACATGCTTGTACATTTGGACACATATCTCTTCTTTAAGACTTCAGATTATCTTCCCATCAATTTTTTTCAGAAACAGGAAGGGTACTGACTCAGTTAATATACCTAAATTATGAAATTGATTATTTTTAAAAAATAGCCCTTTGGTCACACTTCTGAATTCAGTTCTGAAGAATGAGTTAGTTAGCATTCTCATTCAAATAATGACTCCCGTCATGGGAAACAAATGCCCATCCTAATATCTCGAGAAACCTGGGACTACATTATATATAAATCTTCTATATGATCTAGGGAAAGGGTATATATTTTTTGCTGCTTTAAGTGTATAACTTCTTTTGAATTTAAATATTACGTTTATCTTACCTTATACCAGGAGAAAGATAAGCCAGTCGTTCATTTACTTTCTTCGCATTATTATTTTACAAATAAAATTTCAGCTTTAAGAATGTCATCTTGCACACATTTTTATTCGTGGTAGATCACGATTTAGTTTACCTAGTCCATTTAACAGCAGTCCCAACGAAGCTTGAATTTCTTGTACTTATTTATAACCGAGGATGATTTAAAAAAATAAAATAAAATGTTAGCACAAATTGCTAAAATTCCAGAGAATCATGTCTTTATGAAAAATTCTATATAAATCAACTCTATACAAAGTTGTTTGCACAGAAATACAATGTACTGAATATTATTAGTGATATCACGTATTTAAAGCATGTGTAACTTCTTTTAAAATTTAAACAAAATAAAAAAGAAAGTTTAAATGGAGAGAACTATCGTCATGATATACACAGCTTGCTGAATAACATTAAAAAAGCTCTTTTTAAATCTATTTGATATCTTTTTTCATAAACATCCATGTCCCGAATGATAATATTATAATGCATAGTTACTTTGATAATAATTTCAGATCCATGTCTCGAATGATAACATTATAACGCATAGTTACTTTGATAATAATTTCAGATATCAATGATCATTGAGTAACACTTAACATTTATTTCTATGCACACAACTCTGTGCAACGAGAAACACCCTTACGGAAAGAAAGCAATGGTGCGGACCTTTCAGAGCAGATTTCACCATGCTTACACTTCTTTGTATTTGTATGGAAAAAAATATTCAAAAACTTGTACTTGAATATAAGATTTAAAATAATCAGAGTTTGACACACTTGAAACATAGCAGCAGCCTTAATAAAGAGATACTGATGGCAAACTCATCAACCTTTATTATAAACTTGATTACTTTATCTTGATTTTAGACAACTTCCCTTAACAGTTAGGTAGCAATAAATGAAAATAAATCTTTTGTATATTGAGTTAACGTCTCCCATACGTGAGCAAAGCATGTTTCACTTATTATAGTACGTTTATTTTAAAATGAGACAGACTTTTGACAAATAAGTTGATGATACGGGGATATTAACAAACTTTTAATGTCAGCATCTCGCTTATTCTTTGGTTATAAAAGATCTAAGATGCAATGCAGTCTGTCGCCAAATCGATTAATGACTGACATAATTTTACAAATTGTTAATTATAAGCCATTATTTTCACATAGATTAGGCTACATATTTTTCGTTTATTTTATCCTTACAAGAGGCTTACTCCTCCACGGCATCTGATATCACTTCTGTTTTATGAGGTCGCTGTATGCAATATTTACTCCGTGTACATTTAAGGGATGTCTGCGTATTATCAAATATTTTGTTATTTTTACATTTCATTTTAAACACAGGATGCCTTCTGAGCAGAATTCACCAGATGCATTTATTTTTCCTCCGCTAGAAAAATGAGAGGGTATATAGTGATCGAGATGTCTGTCCTTTCATCTGTTATGCTTTGGGGTACCCATCTATTATTCGCAACTCATCCTATACCACTGCATAAAATTTAATGATACTTTCACACATTCTTTATTGCATAATGCCATAATTGTACACCTTTTATTTTACTTTTTGATCTGACATTTGTTTTGAATTCAAAACATGGACTTTGCCATTATAATCATATGGAAGGCGGGAGTATCATTTAGTTAGTTCAATGTTCACAGAACCTCTAGTTATATCCCCCGTTTGAAAAGTGGGAGGTATATAGTGATCGGGATGTCCGTCTATCTTTGCGCCCGGCTGTTACTCTTTGGGGTACCCATCTCTTATCCGCAACTTCTTTTATACCACTTAATGAAATTGAATGAGACTTTTACAGAATCTTTTCTACATAGTGCCATTGTGCACCTTCTTCTTTCAATACTATTGAAGGGTACCTATCTTTTATCCGCAACTCCTCCTTTACCACTGAATAAAATTTAATTATACAGAGAATGAGATTCTTTATAATATAATGCCGTTGCGCAGCTTTTGACCTACATTTTCAAAAATAAATGACCAGGTGCAAATCATAATGCCTACTCAACCAAACGTGAATGGGTGTTACATGTATCTAACAGAGTTTCTTCTGTCAGATGTTGCATGAATTGACACATTTTTTGAAGCAGGTGAATAATATACTATAAGAAGCAATAGGCCTATCTGAACCAAAGGTAAATGCCCGCGTGAAAGTGGGGCAGTGTTTAGAGCGTGTGCTCTAGAGTCTCGGAGTAAGGAGTTGATCCGTATGTCGCGGGTTCAAATCCCACTGTGGGACGTGGAGACCGGTGTTCTGGGTGAGAACGTATAAACCGAGGACCTGTTTCGCAGTAGGCGCTGGCACGAAAAAGATCCCTCACTGCTCAATAGCCGTAAGTGCCTAGTATAGTACAGAATTTTCAGCTCTCCAGGGGTACGTGGTGACGTCTGCATATGAGTTTAATTTTCTGAAGAGACACGTTAAACAACATACAAACAAACCAAACGTACGTGGATGATACATCAAGGGATGCACAATACATGAAGCTTCCAGAGTTGCTTCAGATACTCGATTTGGCTTTCATTTTCCAGATGAGTAGAGTTTTGGGGAGGCTCTTTTCCAGTGTAACTTCAATCCTTACGTAGACAAAACTTTCGTGGATGATGCATCAAAGGTGAACAATCTCAAACTTGCTTTAGATACTGGATATGTAATATTCTTCAAACGAATGACCAATGTATGCTAAAAAATGATTCCTTTTGTTTTCTACTATGCCAACTAGGAACAAAACGACTACTTTCCCTTGTATCCAACCTTCTTATTTATACAACTAAACTATGTTCTTCTCCACCCTATAACAATTACTATAGTCCTGCTTGACACGTTATTACAGGTGCCATAAATATAGTTAATAATGAGGACGTTAGATCTCATGACTGATTTTAAAAGGTCCTAAATATAGGGAATCCCGATCTTTCAACTGGCTTCGGAATTTCATAAATATCAGACATGGGGTAATTGAAAAAAGTAATTGTAATTGAGTGTGATTAAGTACATTTTTCAAAGGAATTGGAAGTAATTTGTAATTGAGCCTGCTTTCAATTACAAGTAATTGAATGTATTTAAATACATTTGAAAAAATGGCACGTATTTTGAATAACTTTTCAATTACATTTCAATTACTTTTTTCAAGTTAAAAGTTTAGTAACAATGTGTCTTTTTATGATGCATAGTTTGCATGCATGTTAGGGCTACGCATGTTTGGCATGAGCTTGTGTTTATGCAATATTTAAATGTTTCATAATGTTTTATTTGTTTGGGTACCCATTTGTTTATACAGCATGACATGCTGCCCAGGGCAGTAGGTAAAGGACTTAGGTCTAAATTTGTTCATGTGGTAACCAGCCCTCTCATACCCAGGAACAAAAATACTCAATAAAAGTTCACTAAAAACATCTTGTTTAGAAATAAAAAATGAATTCAAAGGAACTAGATGAATTTAAAAATCTTAAGACCTGAAAGATGTTGTTTGAATGATACTGTGTTTGAAAATCTAATGATGATTATAATATTGAACTCAACATCATTTCATAAGTTCTATGGCCGATACAATGACTTTGTCAGCAAATACAATTTATCATTGAGTCAAAATGCTGACTGGCGTTTTTCATATCAATTGTCAGTCCATTATTTATACACTGAATTGACGACGGATTTTTCCGTTATTTCCCGATCGTGACAGGGAGCACACAGCGGGTTTAATTTGACCGGTCGGGGGGGGGGTGCTCACTCCTCCATGGCACCTGATCCCACCTATGAAGTTTTGGACGTCCGTGTTTTCTCTGCTCCTATTTAGTATTGTTTTATGGATTTTTTTTTATCGTGAATACTGTTCGTTATATTTTTTAAAACAATCCTTTTGGTGTTGCAAAAACTCTTCAATTACAACCTATACCATTTCTCTCTCTCTCTCTCTCTCTCTCTCCCTCTCTCTCTCTCGGTCAGCAAACACATGGTCTATTTAGACGAAGGTATTCTTATACTTATATATACGCAACTCTAGTCAAATGATCACACCTGTCCTCATTCATTGCCTTTTAATGTTACATAAGCTCAAAGTTAACCATGCTAACAGTGCTAATTCCATTATTACATGTACAAGTATCAATTTGTGCACTTATTTTTCAAACTGGTATGAATATTGGCATTTATATACCTGTTTTGAATAAAATTTCGAAGTTATTTCATCTTTAAAATTAAAAATTCATATAAACACATTGCATAAATCACATTTGTTGTCAAGGTATTGTCAGTTAAAAAATGTAAATATAAGCAATGAATTGAATCATAACTGCAACGGTGTGTACAAACAAATTTTCATAACGCTCTTACGCGCGTGTCTCATTTCTTTGCGCACTCCATAGCATTTATGAGACATCTTTCAAAAAATAATGATTCATTGCATAATTAAATAAAGTTTAAGACAGAATCGCAGAAAAGATGGTCTGAAATCTTTATGAAGAATTTTTGATTAAACAATAAGTACAATGTTTAAGAAATATTTCTAATGATTTTAGATTCATGATTCATTTTATCCTTGTGATTTGGGGAATAATAATTCATTTGATTTTAACATTCTGTATTCGACTATCATGGTATCCTAATCGATAGAGTCGTTGGTTCGAAGCTCGGCCACCGACTGACCTACTGTATGTCGATAAAAAAAAATGGTATCAGCTGTTTCTTCGGCAAGCGTTCGGCACTTTAAAGTGATAGAAGCGGTTCCTTCGGATGTAAGACCTAACAGACCGACGTCCCGTGTCACGAAATTGACACGATGAAGATTCCCGAAGACTCTATAAGTACCAAGTAATGGTCTGAATTTGAAGCCCGTCACCGGTATGTGGTGACTTCTTTTTGCCAATACAAAATATCGAATGGAACCTATATGCTAGGCACTTGAACAATCGGCTCAACTAATCACCATTTAATTTTTTATTTAAACATAACTTGTCTTTCGTATTGAACATCGCAACAGACATTCCTTGCCCAACGCAACTTCTTTAATTTTTCTTATAACCATTCTTCTGTTATCACCTTTATCACACATTCACAAATCTTCGGTGATTTTCAAGAGCACGTATGCTGAATTGTATCTTTTCAGATC